TCCTGGCCTGGCCACATTATTCAGTAGTTTCCTGTGGCCATTCTCCTCATGGCCATAGAGACAGACTTGAGTCTGTTCCAGATCACAGCCCAGGGATGTGTGGCCTTGGACAAGTTAGCTAATCTCTCTGTCCTTTAGAGACTACCTGCTTCTGTAGAGGGAGTAACAATATCTACATTAAATCATGGTCATGAGAATCTGATGATTATGTAAAATGAGTTGCCTGGTATCTAGCACATGAGAACTCAAAAAATGGTGGCATTTCTTATTTTTACCTTCCTAAGGAAATGAGGTGGGAGAGGGCACAGACTCTTGGGTCATGGAATTGAGTTCCAACCCCATCCTCCCCGTTAGAGCTATATGCCCTTGAGTAGGATGTCGGAGCTTCAGTTCCTTCACCTATAATATGGGAATAAGAGTATTTCCTTCACAGGGTTGTTATGATTTTTAAATGAGATAATATTAAATGGGATGAAAGAACAATATTTGGCTCCCAAATCAGTTATCTACAGCTGTTGATTTCTTTCTGTCTTTCCCTATGTCCCGCCAATGAGAGACTAAAATGAAAAACAGGTGAGAGCACTTTGAAAAATAACACATTATACAAATCTGACACATGAGGACTTCTCCCTTAAAGTAGAGAGGGTTGAGGAACAGCAAAAAGACCAAAACAGGAGTCAGACTGAGGAGGCAGAGAATCCGGGACTCGATGAATCCAGGCTCTAGGATTCAGTAGCAGTTTTCCCTCTGCTTGCTTCTTCACTTCATCTTCGGCCATTCTCCACCATAAGTACCGCCCTTCCTACATTCTGCTATGTGTCATCCTAGGGCTTTGCTCTGCCAAGAATATTCTATCCATGCTCTCCAATGAATAGTTCCATTTCCTCCTTCAGGTCATTTCTTCAAAAGAGCCCGGATTCTTTGTCACCCCCTTCACTCTTAATCTCAGAACTGTGGTATGTTATTTCTTTTATACCACATAACACAATTTTAATTATACATATTGATTTGTTTGTTTTTATGCGTCCCTCCCTCTAGATCAGTGGTTCTCAACCTGTGGGTCGAGACCCCTTTGGGGGGTCGAACGACCCTTTCACAGGGGTCGTCTAAGACCATCCTGCATATCAGACATTTACATTACGATTCATAATAGTAGCAACATTACAGTTATGAAGTAGCAATGAAAATAATTTTATGGTTGGGTCACAACATGAGGAACTGTATTTAAAGGGCCAGAAGATTGAGAACCACTGCTCTAGATGATCAACTCCACTAGGGTAGAGTCTCTCTGTCTGCTTTACTTGTAATTGAAAGGCCAGAGTCCACCATAAGAGGTTTTCAATAAGTACTTGATGAGTAAATAAATACTAGCCCCTGCTTCTTAAAAATAAGGTCACTCTGGGCAGAGACCTTTATAAACCACTTGAGCTTATTGCAAGCTGCCCTGCACTCTTATTTTGGATAATTAAGCCCATTCCTATTTTATTATGAGAAAACAATCAGCCACCAAGCAACCTCCATGGGCACACGCTGCATTAGAAGCTTTAGATGGGGGGAAAAACAAGAACTTTCTTTTCAGTACCCACAAGGATAAATGAACCTAATTCTTAAAAATAGCCAGCTTTTAGGCCATAATTATTTCTGTCTGACTTGAGAAAGATGAGCCCTGCTGCGCTTGTCCCTGTTTCTCTGTCCAAGCAAACAAATTAACAGCTACCATAAATACAGGTTTCATGTATTGGGAGGATCGAAACCACTAGCATAACTCCCAGATAAAAGCCCCTAAGAATGCTATCATTCAGCTAAAAGTTTGGAGTCTCAAATTATTATTCTTTTTCCCTTTTTGGGAGACATTTTTTTGCTAAAAGTTCTTAAAAATCTTTGGCATCATTTCCATTTGGGGGCGAGGAGAGCTTTATAAACATCCTGGCTCAAGTTGAGCTTGGGTGAGTTGTTAGGTTGAAATATTTAAGGACAACAGTGATTTATGCAAATAAAAATTATAATTTTTATTATATAATAAAAATAATCCAAAGTACTTGGGGAGGAACCAACTCTTGAATGATGTAGGCACATGTCCCTGTTCAGAACCCAGCCATCTGGGGGCAGGACTTCTGCAGTAGCCTCATGATAGAGCTCCTGCCTATGGCTGCCCCCAGTCTCCTATCTAGATACACACTGCCATCAGATTCTCTTCTTAAACATCACTTGTTAGACATTCAAAATGTTTTAGTGCTTATACCTTCTAAGTTGAAGTTAAAGGCTCTTGTCAATCTAGTTTCAACCCAATATCTTGGCTTATGTCCCATTACTCCTGACTCCTTTACCCAAACTCTCCCACTAGACAGACAGGCATTATTATTGTCCTTGGAAAATGCATTGCTCTGGGCTGAGGTCATGTCATCTCTTCTCTGGTGCTATCCATCACCCCTCTCTGGTGGTTCAGGGGCTCAAGTCTGCCCTGCTTTCTCATGAAGGCTCCAGCCCAGAATCATCCACCTCTGAGCTTCCAAAGGATTCATGGTCAGACCCAAATCCTGCTGTTCATCCTGTCTTGCACCATTTGGATGTTGTTTTATATGGTTATTGCAGTTCTTGTTGTTTATATTGTCAAGGATGCCACCCTGACCCCAGAAATTATTTACAGCAGGGGCCCCTCACCTGGGGATCCATAATTGGAACTGATACTTTTTTATCCTTTCAATTATTTCCACTTTCTGGTTAAGGGAGTTTGAGTGAGTTTCTGTTCCTTGCAAACAAACACATCTGGAAGAAGATGGCTGTCATATGTGCATGCTTAAGATAGGAATGCCCAGCCCGAGGAGAGATTATTTTTCACAAATCTGAAAACTTAAGGTCTCATGTATCAATGCTCTGAAAGTACACCTGAGGCATTTATTTAAAAGTACAGATTCAAAAGATGCAGATCCAGGCTCCATCCTATACTGACTACAAAAGAAGCCCTTTAGAATGGGGCCTGGGAGTATTATAAACAAGATTCTCAGGTGATCCTATATAATAAAAGCCTAGCGACTGAACGGCAGAACAACCAGAACAACCGCTTGGCCAGTCGCTATGATGAGCACTGACACCAGGGGGCAGATGCTCAATGCAGGAGTTGCCTCTTGGTGGTCAGTGCACTCTCACAGTGAGAGTGCCACTCGGCTGACTGGGATGAGCAGGGTTCCCACAGCAGGAGCAGCCACTCAGCACTCAGACGGCGGGTCTACAGCAGGTTGGCTGACCAGGATGAGAGGCTGCTCCCTGCAGGTCACGCCCCCACCAGTGCACGAATCCCGTGCACTGGGCCTCTAGTTTATATATATACTAGAGGCCCAGTGCACAAAATTTGTGCACTTGGCGGGGGGGGGGGGGGGGGGGGTGCCCCTTCCCTCCTCCACCCTCTCACAGTCCGGGAGCCTTCTTTGGGGGACTGACTGATGGCTGGTGGACATTCTTAGTGCTGCTGTGGAGGCGGGAGAGGCTCCTGCCATAGCCACTGTGCTCGCCACTTCTGGCTGAGCAGCGCTCCCCCTGTGGGAGCGCACTGACTACCAGGAGGCAGCTCCTGTGTTGCACGTCTGCCCCCTGGTGGTCAGTGTGAATCATAGCAACCAGTCGTTCTGTCACTCGGTTGATTTGCATATTAGCCTTTTATTATATAGGATATATATATATATATATATATATATATATATTCAAGAAAATCTAAAAGAATGGGGGAATCTGACATTAATGTCTCTCATATGATAGTGAAGGGACATGGAAGAGGAAATAATTCATATACCTTGAGAACCAATTGTTAAGTATTCTCATCAGTGTTATTTTCTGCAATCTTTCAACAAGTCTATGATATGTCTTATCATCAATCCCTTAAACAAATAAGACAATAAGTGAAATAACTCATCTAAGGATCTATAATGGTGACTTGCTGGGCCAGCATTTAAACTCTGGGCTGACCAGCTCCAAAGTTCTCACTTCTCACTCTGCTGGAGTTCCTAACACACCCTGGAGGGAGGGGGAGGGAGCATGAGGACACATCCATGCTGGAGGTTTCCTAGGTCAGTCTGGGGGAGCGGGGCAAGTCCTGACCCTGTGGCTGATAACTTCTGCATCAAGACTTCCTTGCCATCTAAGAGGACAGTGATTCTCTGAGCTCTGAATTTACATCCTAAACCCTGAGGCTGGAGCCTGGTAAGATCCACCTGAGAAACCACTGGCTGTCTACCTGGTCCTCAAACCTAAAGGCAGAGGCTGCAGTGTCTCTGGCCTTCATTACAGGCGCAGCACACACACTGACCTCTGGCTGAGGCTTTAGAGACCAGTGGCATCCAATATGCCAGGTAGACCGAGGGCCTGGCCCGTGTATGGAAGGTGGAAAGGAGAGGCCCTGGAAGCCAGAGTCCTGTTTCCTGACAGGAAAGGGTGGTGAAAATCCAAGTTGGGATGGAAAGGTGGTGATTGTACAAACCCTGGAGAACACGGAAGCCTTAATATTTGGGGATTATAGGTCTCAAGCAGTGGTTCTATTAAAATCACCCGGGAAGATCTTAAACAATGCTGCTCTAGGTGATTTCAATGGTCAGCCACGGTAGAGAACCACTGGTTGAAAGTGCCTCCCATGGCCGAGTGAGACCAGGTGAACCTGCAGATTCTCTGAAGACAGCTTGTGTTCAGTTATGGCTGGGAAAACGGAGGCCTGTAACTGCGCACCATCAGCCACAGTCTGGGGGCAGCCTGGGGTCCCCGGCTGCCAGAGCAGGGTTCCCTTCCATGTCGACTTTCCCATTGTAGGGTAGAATTGGCACAGAGAATGAAGAAAGAAACAGGTGTGAAAGGCAGGAGGCAGAAGTGGGAGATGACCGATACGAAGATCTGCAAAGGAATGTTCCCTCAAGCAGGAAAACGCCAGCCTCGGAAGGATGGGATCGCAGTATTTACAACAGATCAGGGGCAGAAAGGGCTCAAATGTCCAGTCTCAAAGGAGGTGCTCTACTCACTGAGTGGATGATGCCTTGCAGAGCCTGAAAGCCATCATTTACAGGAAACACGTGATCCTTACTGTCCGCAATCCGGGCCAGCTGAGAACAAACACAAACACACATGGAGGACGCAGGAAAGCCACTGGGTTTAGGGGACTCCATCTACTTTTAGAACCAGAGGAACTTGAGAGGCTTTGACTGGGCTCAGAGGCCTCACTGAAAAGCCCTCAGTAATAATGAGTTTACCAGCGGCCTCCCTGGAGCGAGCCCGGGGGGTTGGCGCCAGCTCTTACATTTGTTGTAATACTTCTTTCCTTGGGAGCAGAGGTAAGATTGCCCAGCTAGATGAACATTTGGCCTGGGTTGGTGTATTTATGGATTTGGGGGCAGGCCACGGGCTCATTTCTCTCCCATTCACCAAATTTCTGTTGGCAACTGTTTTCGAACCAAACAAACTCGTTTCCTTTGAGAGCAACTTTGCAAATAAATTCAAGCTTTGGTGTTGGGGAAGGCCAGTGAATGGGGACCCTTATCTTCATCCAGCCTGCTCACTGAGGAAAGGACCCTGGCCATGGTTTGTCTGCCCCAGCTTTAAGGAGCCGAGGACTGGAGAAAGGAGAAGCTGCCCTGTGAGCTTTCCTACCCCGCCCCATCTTCGCACTTTTCTGCAATTGCCACGGTCACAGTCGGTGCCAGGATGTTCACTGATTGCACAAGCACCTCAGTGTCATTGGGAAATTTCAGAAAACCCAGGAGAGTTAAAATACACTTATAAAAAGTTACTTATAATCCATGGATTCATCCATTCATCCTTCCATCCATCACATTTCTATTATTGTTAATTTGATATATATTATCTTTCATAGTTTTTCTAGGCAATATACACATATTTATTTAAACACTGGACTCATACTATTCCCAATATTCTGCAATCCTAATTTATTTACTTAACAACATATCATGAGCGCTGTCCCATGTTATTAAAACAAAAAGAAATTACAAACTACACTGAGTAACATTCATTTAGGTTGTTAGCAAATTTTCGCCATTTGCTTATATGTATTTGTACATTTTTTTGCCCACTTGCTAATTATTTCCCTTTTTTTGTATTGAAAATACACTGCATATTTAATGGAAGGGATGTTTGCCATTTTAAAAAAAAGATTCATCACATTAAATAAAAACAACAACAACAAGTTTTCCAAGTTAACTCAGATCTATTTTGACACCTTGGCTGTTTAGCATCTACCAAGAAAGATGCTGCCTGGATGGTCTGTGTTAAATGCCCCCATGTGCATCAGCAAATGGCTTTACCTTACTCATCCAACAATTCCCTTCCTGCTTATTAACATTTCTGGAAAAATACTCCATCTAAGGGGTGTTTATGTTGCTGCTGCACCCTCTGTACCGAATCATTCACAAACTGGAGGAAAACCAAGCGCATACCTGTGTTTCGTTGAAATCCTTTACCCCGACACAGTAAACGATTGCACCAAGGTCTCGGGATCTGTTAGCCTGGGGCAATGAGAGAAAAGACATTAGAGAGAGAAGCAGAGGCAAACATACTCCTTTGGATTAGCCAGACTAACTGCAATGATCAGGCATTTACTGAGCACCTACTTACTATATGTCAAATGCCACAATGGAGAAGGTAATCCCTGTCTTCAAAAAGCTTATACTCCAGTGAAAGACCCACTCTAACCTAATGCATTATGGGCGTGAGGGAAGTGATTAGTCTAATGGGAAGTGAGGAGAAAGAGCCACATAAATAGAGTCTTTGAAAGACAAGGAGAGGAAAAGGAAACTGTAGGCTAGGGTAAGTGGTATGAAATAATCTGGGGAAATGATTATCTTTTCTATTTCTCTGATGAATTTTTTTGGCATACTTTTTCTTCCTCTGATGGCAGCATGGTATAATGGAAAGGATGTGGCCTTTGGAATCTGGTATACGTGGGTTTGACACTTGGCTTTGCTCTAGAAAGTGTGAGGGGGATTAAATGAGATAATAAATGCAGAGCTCCTCAAGCAAGGTCTAGGACAGGGGTGGGCAAACTTTTTGACTCGAGGGCCACAATGGGTTCTTAAACTGGACCGGAGAGCCGGAACAAAAGCATGGATGGAGTGTTTGTGTGAACTAATATAAATTCAAAGTAAACATCATTTTTTTTTTTTTTAGTTTTATTCATTTCAAACGGGCCAGATCCGGCCCGAGGGCCGTAGTTTGCCCACGGCTGGTCTAGGATGATGCAGAAGCTCATAAATGTCAGTTCCCTTTAGAAATAAAGCCCTTTTCATTGCCATAAAACACATTGGTTTCGTGGATGGGAATTATGGTCCATATTTGAGTAGGTGAACCCATGACCTTTTTTTAACACTTAAGTATGGAGAAGGCAACATAAAAAACAACATTCAGGTTTTGGCTTGATTTTTATATTTGATTTGTGAAAGGCTCTGATAACAGATTTCAAACTTCTGCATTTCAGAACAGAAAACAATAATTGGAAATCCTTGGTATATACAGTAGGTGCTTAATAAATAATCAATAGTAAAGATATATTAGGTGCTCATTATGTGCATATTGATTTGAGTTGTGTTCTTTCCCCCACTCTGTTAGTATGCAAACCCACTTGTGACTAATATTGAATTTTAGAAGGGACAGAAACACATCTTTTTTTCCTTCATGTTAGAAATATTTCTTGAGGCTTTCAGGATAAAACAAACTTTTAGACACAGTCTAGCCCCAGTCTTATCTGCAACAACTTCTGTGACACTTTTCCTCCAGTTGGACTTTATATAGAATTATCAAAAATGGGAAGGTTCATTTTCGTTATATATCTTGAATTTTATCTTTCTTTTTCAGAAACTCCCTTCCTATTGGTATTGGCACTCCAACTATTTTTCCAAGTCTGTATGTGCCATACCTAAAATTCTTTTCTACTAACCCCTATTTGAATCCTCTGACAACTATCATTTATTTTATATTCAGTTATTTCCTTATTAGGGTTTTTACTTCATTTGACTGTTGTTTGGCACCCAGATAAGACATTCTGCATTCCCATTACATAGTGTCGACTTTAGAGAATAGGAATTATATCCTTTCCCAAATGCTCAGGGAGTGCCTGTCATATTTACTGTGTGTTTCCCATTGTGAATTTTCCCAGTGTGGTTCCCATTGTAGGTGATTAATGTGCTCACCTACATAATCTGATCATGCCCTTTGCCAGCAGAGGCTTCAACAAGCTGAACATGATTACATGGGGAGGCCCATGAGGGCAGCTACTGTCTCACTTAACACTGAGTGAGTGAAGGAATGAATGAATGAATGAATGAATGAATAGATGAATATATACTTCTTGCTCACTAAGGGAGCTAAATTTAAATTAAACCATAGTCAAGAGCTTGAGGTAAGTGTAATGTTCTTATTAACTCCTCCCTGGGAGGCCAGAACCTCCCTCCCTCACTGCCTAATAGTGTTGCTTTCTAACTTGGCCTGAATAAGGCTTTGTCACTAATGAGGCTTTAATACATTCCCATGGTTAACTGGTTTTCTTGGGCCACTTACACATATAGCTCTCACATCTACAACTTGAAAGGAAAGGCTTTCTTAAATATAAATGACTACTTTTTAATTTTTCAATAAATTCCCTTTTCTGAATCTCTTTATGCAAACTGAAAGTTTCATTTAAAGAGCATTCATTCACTTGCTTCGAGGAGTATTTTATGAGAACACAAATAAAAGGAAAAAAGAAATATCAAAGGAGAGATTACAATTTACTTTGCCTCTAATTAATATTCAACTTTGGTTCATAGAATGACAATCTCAATGACTAATCCATTCTGCCAAGATTGGCTCTTACATTGTCAAGTAATTCTTTCCCCTCCTGTTTTTAGTAGAAAATATGAGGAAAATTTCAGAAAAAAAATGATTTTTGTTAAAAACGATAGTGTTTCAAAAGTGCTAGATCCATATAGTGCTTTCAATAAAATTATGCTAGATATATTTTACCCCTCCCACACAGAGAGTAATATAGAAATATTTTAAAGAGGAAAAATATCTATCATGTATAAGACATGAAAATTCACTTTAAAAAATAAATTGTTATTTTTTAAATGTATAAGACACGATTTTATCCAGGAGTTGTTTTTTTAATCAAGAGTAACTATCATTTTGGCCAAGTAGAAAGATTGCAGCCCATCTCAAAAGGAAGAAGCCCTTTTCCATGTCTGTTTAGACAGACACAGGCCGGACTGTCACTTACCTCCCTCTCTGAATAGTAAAAGAGATCTTCATGGAGTTCTCCATCAGTCAGAGCAATGATGACGCTGGCTGTCCTGTATCCTGCTCAACACAACACAGACTGCTCAGTCCATCCTGCCACACCAAGGGGACCCTCTCTCAGCCCTGAGAAACTGTCTCCGCTAAGCTCAACCACCCAAGGTCAATATCTTGAGAATCAGCAACTTCTCTTTGGGGACTGGAAGCAATTCCATCATGAAGAAGAGTGCCGAGACAGACTCTAGAGGGAATAGGCTTTGTTTCTGGGTTTCTCAGTCTTATCTTAAAACAATGGCTAAACCTGGTGAAATGCTTTCTGGACTGAGCTAGGAATAACTCCAGTGGCTTTTATTTCTGGGGACAAGCTCTACCACCTGGGCTGTTCAAGAGTCCTTCTCACAGGCTGTAGCTGACCACATGCACCAGCCCTTGAAGAGCTGGGCAAAGAGTCCTAGTCATCGTGATTTACAAGCTGACTGAATCACAGCAGTTGGCAAAACCTACTAGAGTTCTTCCAGTAATTGTTAGGCATCTAGTAACATTGCTGATGGTTGAAATACACTAACAAGTGTTGGTGTTGATGTTGGATTTGTTTTATTTGTTGTAGTTTAGAGTGAAATCAGAAGTGGACATCTCTACAGGCCTAGGAGAAAAATCCCCAATGCAATACTGAATCTTTTAAAAGAGATTTGCCTCAGATAAAGAAAGGCTATTCATAAAAGACACTATAGTAATTGTAATAATAGCCAAAATAATAATAATAATAATAATAATAATAATAATAATAATAAATATTAGTTCTATGTGCTAGACACTCTATTAAGTAAAATTTTTGCCTTTTTTCATTTAAATAAAGGAAATTTCAAACTGAACTGGTATCTTAATCTTAACACCATATCCAACCACAGTAATGAAGGGGTGAAGGGGCTTGGAGCCCAGAGAAGACATGAAAATTACAGTTGACATAAAAATCCAAGACTTTACTAACCCATCCAAGTATTTACTAATTTAATGAATTCAACATGCAAAACTGTTCCCAGACATTGCAGACTGTGGCCCATAATGGGATCTAATTACTTTCATATCACTTTTCTTGCCATCAACAGGATAGTAGCATTAAGCCTGGCACGTATCATCTTTCTAAGCATTCCCACTTCATGATGAAGTGTGTGTCCAAGGATTCTAGGCAATATCAAATATGTCTTTTGAACCAAGAAATTACGGAGGCACTTTTTCAGAAGTAAACACAGAAAAAAGTTAACTAACTCATCATGGTAGTTCGTAAGATAGTCTTACCTTGACTGTTTTCATAATAAATCTGCTCGCTGGCCTGGAAAACACATGAAAGAGCCATTAGACAGCCAGCCACTGTTTGCTACTCCAAATCCAACATTGGGCAGTGGGCTCTGGTGTTGGGTACGCAGCCATGGCCCAGTCTTGATTCTTCATGTGATCCACCCACACTTCACACAGATATCAATGGGTCACCTTCATCTAAAGTCACCCTGACATGTAACCAATATACTTGTGAACATGGATCGATGTCTTACTTTGCATAGACTGGGATTTGTTCTCTTCAAGATTGAAGTCACTGACATTCTGTCTCAATCACTGAAGCAACATGTAGAAGAGGTGACCGTGGGAACGGGGAGCACTTGCATGTGGCGTGACTCCTGGCAGCCAAGCAGCAGCCAACAAACCTTTCACCAGTGTCAGGGAAGGAGCAAGGAAATCTCCCTAGTTCTTTTGGATAGTGTTATCAGCGTCTAAGTTTATGGGGAAATTTTCTTACTCTCTTGCCATTGGGTGTTATTCATTCCCTCAATGCATGTGCCTCATCGTCAGCCATCCTTAGGTGGATGTTCCGTGTCACACTTTACATTTGGAGTTGAAAATTGTTATAAAATTACCCTTTGAAATCCTTCATGCATGTAAGTATCTCCTCCTGGCAGGACCTTCTGCAATTCCTCAAGGCCTTGACGAATCTGTTCTCTGAAATCCAAAGACACCCTATTAGTCCTATTAGAGCATTTTTTTTTACTGTGCTGTGTACATGCACATTAGTCTTTTTCTTATCTCTGTGGATAGTCTATACTGCCCCAGTGGTCCCCCAAAAGCCTGTCAGGGGTAGAGTCTTTGTAGTACATCACCCATTCAGGGTCAGCCTTCAGCCATAGCATAGGATGAGCAAGATTTTAAAGACCCTTCTTCAAGAATCTTTTCCATTTGCTCAAGAAAGTCTTCCATTTCTTTTTTAGATTATTATTAATTTTAAAGAGAGAGAAAGAGAGAGAGAGAGAGAGAGAGAGAGAGAGAGAGAGATTTGTTGTTCCATCGTTTCCCCTAGTTATGCATTTACTGATTGGTTCCTGAATGTGTCCTGACCATGGATCAACCTGCAACCTTGGCTATGGGGACGACACTCTATCCAACTGAGCTACCCAGGAAGGGCTTCTATTTCTTTAAATGGACAAAGTTTTCATTCTACATTGGAAATGAGCCTTAAAATGCAACTGCTCCTGAGGGGACACACAGCAACTTCAGCACCTTTATGTCAACATGCAAATGGCTCTTGTGAACCAGAAAGAGGCGGGTACCAAGAAACCAGGGCAAGGCCACCACAAGGACCACAGGTGGGAGGGGCAAGCGTCAGGCGTGAACTCTGCCACCCGCAGAGTTGGGCCAAAGGAAACCGTGTAGTCAGCTTTGAAAACAAAAGTCTAGGCAATCTCTGCTTTCCAGGACAACGGAGAGTGTTTTCTGTGGCTGATGCCTGTGTTTTCTTACTCTGGTTGCTGGTGGTGGCCCTGGGGCAGGAAGAGGAAGTGGGTTAGGGCATTAGGAAAGGGTCTGACTGAAAGTGGGAAACATGAATGGTCTGGGGATCAAATGGAATCTTTGTGGACCATTCTCTCTGGGATGTAAGATATGTTCCTGTCTTCTAAATAGCCCCACACTGTAACGAAAGGGCAAGAAAGTGTGATTTCTGAAAAAACATTAGCCTTATTCATAAACTGTAAGCCTATGGAAAGTTTGAAATTACCTTCTTCTCACTGGGGCCTCTTTAGTAACAGAGGGTGGAGGTGCACTATTTAAATGAGGAAGGGAAGCTTCTTTTGAGTAGGCAAAGAACCTAACATTTATTAGGCATCTACTATGTATAAGGCCCTACTCAAAGGTTTGTTTCATCCTCACAATACCCATGCAAGGTGGGTAATATTGACTGCATATGATAGGTGAGACAATTTGGGTTTAGAGATTAAGTAGAAGATCAGAGACTTGAATTCAAACCTGTCTGACTTAAAAAGGTGTTCTATTCTGCCAAGCAGCCTGCTAGCACACAGCAGTGCTGGAGAAGTGGGAAGTTTTCAGTAACACTTGAATTAGTGAAGAGCAATAGCAATTTCTAACACCATCTGAGTACTTAAAGTGTGCCAAGCTCTGTTTGAAATATACCCCACACAATAATTCACTTCTGCCTTATAAAAAATAGCTCTTTTTAATAGAGAACACTGTTATTTCCATTCCACACAGAAGGAAACTGAGTCACAGAGAGGCTAAGGAACTTTCCCAAAGCCCTGTAAGACGGAGGTAGGATTAGAACCTAGAGACCCTGTTCTTAATAACCATGACAACTGTCTCTCTTTTGAGTGAATGAATGACATCTATTGCTGGTCTATTCTGGCAATTGCTTGGGAGGAAGTCTAATGCCAAATTAACCTTTTGTTAGAAATGATATAATGGAGTAGCCATGGCTGAGGCTGGATCTCCAGGCTGTTGGAGGGTTTAAAGGACAAACGGAAAAGGGGTTAACCTGAGCTTGCCCCTGGCCTAGGCTACTGATGCTTCGCAGGTGGGATAGTGAAGTCCAGGTAATTCAGACGCTGGGAAATGTATGACTATTGTTTCATTGTCTCATCAGTGCCCAAATGTCAGACCACATGCCCAGTTGTGCAAGTCAAAAAACTGGAACCCTTCCTTGACCCTCTACCTTGGCTCTCCTCTCTCTTTACGCTTCCCTACATAATCTATCATCAAATTCCATTGGTTCTACTCTAAACATATCATGAAACTTCTCTATCTCCTCTGCAAATGCCATGGTCTGAGCCACTATCATCTCTGGCTTAGACCACTGGGAAAGTCACTGGCTACCTTTCGACTGCCCTCTTGCCCCTTTTCCATTCATTCTCCACATGGCTGCCGGAATGTTTCTAAAATATTGATCAAAACATGCTACTCACTCCCCTGCTCAAAACCCTTCAATAGCAGACAATTACACTTGGGATGAATCCCAAATCCTTGCCCTGGCCTTCGAGTGCCTACATGATGGCTCCTGTGCCTCCGGGACAGCGGCATGGGCACCACTCCGCCCCCCTCTCTGCACTGGAGCCCCGTGGGCTTTCCTAAGCTCCTTCTCCAACAGACCCTTCCCACCTGCAATCACTGCTGGCCATGGGCTGGGGAGACTTTTTGCCTATAGTCCCAACTTAAATGTCAATTGCTCCAAGTAGCCTTGTTAGATTTCCCCAGTTCAAATTGGCTCCCTCAATTAAATTTGCTCATGGAACCCCAAACTTTTGCTTCATAGCACGTGGGACATTTTATAACATTTGATTGTGTAATTATTTGTTTAGGTCCCCCCCCCCCCAGTTTTGGACTTTAAACCCCTTGAGAGCTGAGCCATGTCTGGTTTGGTCTTCACTGTATCTTCTACGTCTACTACAGTTCCTGGAACATTCTAGATATTCAACAAATATTTACTGAAGAGGTGAGCGGAGGGAACAGATGTCTCCACTTTAATCATCCTGTGAAGAGGTCAACCTTGGGGGCAGGGATTAGCTTCACTTGGCATGTGGAGGGAGGCCAGGCAGGGACTGACCTGTTAATGGACTTTAGGTGTGTGCCCATGTGGTGGTTATAAGCCATTCTCTATGTTGTACTCCTTTACATTACCCAAGCAGTTCAATAAATCCCACCAAAAGGCATAATTTAATTTCAAATCTGTTGTTTAGTAATGAAAAAAGGCATATATCGGTGGTGTGGAAGGAAGGGCAAAGATGAGAGCAGTGTCCTCCACCAAGGCCACCGTTGGGAGGGCAGAGGGAGGCTCTGGCAGCCATCTGGCCAGGAGCAGCTTTGTCCTTAATGGTTGGCAATTTCATGAGGGTCATGGCAAGGACCAGGTAGTATGAGGGTGAGGCTGGGATAGGAAAATCAGGGTTTGCTCTTGAGCACACAGAAGTGGTATCATGTAACCTTCAGAATCACTGGGGGACACTATGGGGGAGGGGGAGCTAGTTTCTGACACTTAAGGGGTAGGAGATTGGACATTAAAAGTAAATGTGAAAAAAAAGTATTGTGGTCTTACTCTTTGGCCATGGACTAGGGAGATCTGGGCTATATTGGTAACACTAAAATTGGAATAGTGTGTTAAGACTGCAGCTTGAAAAAGAGGTTAAAAAAGGCATATTAGGGGAATGGAAAAGGCTCCTTGGCTTCACTGTATTCTTTCCCTGCCAAATAAAGTCTGGGAACTGGGGTGTTTCCTCTAAGCCTATTTCCTTTTCTTTACAAGTATTTTCTTGAGCTTTCTATATTTTTGGTAGCAGAACAAGCAAAGGCTGGTTTGGAAACTGCCCTTATCCTTGATGCTTTGTGTCTGGCAAGATAAATTCACTATCCCAAGCAGTGATCACAACCTCCCAGATACCACCCTTACTTCTCCAAAGACCAAATGACTTATGCCCCACCTCCCTGCGCCCTGCCCTGTCTCTAAGCACCCACAACATCAAAGCAAACGAAACAGATGGTTTCATGGGAATGGTGGGTCCATTTAAATTTTGGGACAATAAAACTATTAATAAAGGTCCATTTTTTAATGCTCTCTTAGAAATGAAAGAAATTGGGAGAGAGATCTGTTAAAGGGGGCGATAAGAACCTCTCTGAAGACTTGGTTATTACCAAATGAAATGTTATCTTCCTGGGAAATGAGAGAGGCTGGGAATCCTAGGAAGACAGGCTGCTATTAAGAGTCTCCTGTTTTCCTTGGTGGTTTCACATGTCTGCCAGTGTTCTTACTTAGAAGTTAAGGGTTCTCAGGCCACATGTCTTGTATTCCTTTTGCAACCCCTGCAGCACTTAAGTATGGGCCTAGAGTAGGTTGTATGTTGTTGAATGAATGATTCCGGTTTGGGCACATTCATTAATCCATTCATTCATTTCCACAACTATTTGATCATGCATTGTGCACCCAGCACTAGTCTGGTTTGTAGGGATGGGGGGTGGGGAGAAGTGGGATGGTGTCTGCTGGACTTTTCGTTGGCCCTGGGAGTTTTTCTACACTTCATGAAGATTACTTTTTGGGATTCCAGCTGTCTTGCAACATTTTCATATTTGCTGATGAAAGGACGAACACACATAAGCACATCAAGAAGCACTTCCATAATCACTTATCCCAAGTATCCCAGTGATGCTCCTACTGCAAAATCCTCCTTGGGGTTATGCAATGTCCACCACATTTTCATTCTATAAAAACCACCCCCCCTCAAATAACCCAACATCAGCTTTGCATTGTTGACTTCTTGCCTCCCATAAAAGAGCTCCTGTGGAATTGGACTTTGCTCAAATGCCCTGCAGTTGTTGCCTTTGCAGCCTCAACTTATACAGTAAACACACAACACTGTTATTACCACTAATGCTGCATTCGCATTTCCAGATGGCCTAGGACTCTGGTGTTGCCTCCCCAAAACATGAAGTGAACCAAACAAAAACATAGATTGATTAAAGTCATGCTGCTGCTGCTACTTGTGGAGTCATGAAATTCCACAACCGACCGTAATCATTTGTTTATAATGTATGTAAATCAGCCTCCTTGGGCTTTTTCCTAAGAATAGGCCAACATGATTAATGACATGAAGGTACATATTGAACCAATGATTATATATATATATATATATATATCTCCTCACCTGAAAATATGTTTATATCCTCAC